TCAATATGATGATGGTGACCAACAGGGTTCTATAAGGCGTAGGGGTTCAGGGTTCTGTTCTGGAGGAAGAACTTCGAAGATCATTGGAAGGACTAGAGAGTCTTGAAGCCAGTTTCAGGAAGTAGGCAGAACTGTGCACCCTGTTTCTTCAGGCTGCTTCTCAAATCTTCCAACCAGCTTCGAGAACACCCTAAGCCCTAATATTTTGCAAAGCGTCTGAACTATGTACTTCATTCTGAAGAGAAGAACTCGGACATCAGCCGATGCTCTAGGGCGAAGGGGTTAGGGTTTACGGTTCAGGCACTAAGCTCTATTTCATATTTTGAACAATTTTCAAGAACATCCTTGTCTCAGAATGCCCCACCTAAACTCTTCCTTAAGCTTAGACTTCATTGGAGCATTTTTGGAGAGGCCCCCTGAATCCTGAGCCCCAAGGCCTTGGAGCTAATTTCATAAACCCTTTCTTCAAGACGATCTGGAGAGCAGCTAAGTTTGCAAGGCTTCAGGGTTCACTGAAAGACGATAGATACAGGAAGCCACACGCACTTCCCAAGGACTTACGAAGCTTCCACCCAAACCAGGCTTCTTATTTTTGTTGGCACTTCCCCAGGGTTTTCGACTCGTCTTACTTGTTGAGCTCTGAACCTTAAGGTTCTTATGCATATGGGTAGTTCTCTAAATTAGGGTCCCCTTTTAAGTCCCAGATATAGTATGGCACCCTCATAAAAAAGGACCCCCAAAGGGACCCTAATTTAGAAAACTGCCTAAATACACCTCGGGAAGTTTGCGAGCCAAAACCCCTAAACCCTAAAGTCCCTAAACCCAATGACAAGACCATCCAGGCAACGATCATCTTGCTCTGCATGGCCAAAACGAGGAACTTCGAGCCGATCTGACGGACTGCCATCAGAGATTCCCTGGCCTGGGTTCTTGATGAAGGTGCCTAAATTAAGCTGTGTCTAGGAACTAGTGGCGACATATAGTCGATAACGTGCTGTCCTTATTGATGGGTGGCTAAACAGGAGCCCAGTGGCCTCTTCATGGCTAAACTCTCGAGGCATGTACCGTATTGCGCGACCCTGCAAGCGATCCGGCTGCCGTTCCTCTCGCGCAAGGTCTAAGATCTCATTGAAGAGGCCTTGTCCATAGCCTTAGTCGTGCAGTCTCCTTGGGGAGCTGAAGGGTCACTTGAAGGATTTGTACAGGGTTATATTACGCCAACAATGTTACAGGTCATGTGCCTCTTGCGCGGAGTGGCTCTCGGAGGAGTATAAGCAGGTAGCCAGGGGGACATCAAATTTCAAGATCCACTGCCAGAGTGCCAGCGCCTGAAGGCTGTCCGGCGGCACCGTGCGCAAGAAGAACGGATACGCCGCTTTGTTTGAGAGACTGGGGCTGGTAGAGGCCATGGAGATTTGTGGCACCTTCTGCACGGCAGCCAAGGTGGCTATGGGGCCGCTGACAGAGGACGCACGGGCACCCACGAGCCCTACCACTGGCGTCGCTCCACCTCGACCCAGCATCATGTCCTGCTTCGGGGTTGAAGTGTCTGCAGGTTTCTAGAAAACTTCCTTAAAATGGGCGTGTCTTTTCGGATATTAGGGGGATCCCTCCAGAGTCCAAGGTTTTTTCTGGCTTGATTGGGGGACTTTCAAGGCCCTTCTGTTGTGTAACGGCGCTTTTGGACCAGAGTTCAGCCCAAACTAGGGATATCTTGCAAGGCAAGATCTCGCCCCTCCGCTGTAGTTCGAGTTGTTCGCACCTCTAGAGTTTCAGCAGTGGCAACGACGTGCTACAGGGATCCCTTTGATTAGAATGGGGTCTGTGCTAGGGACTAAAGGGCCATTACTGCTACATGGGGGGTTTTCCGAAAATAGGGGACCCTAATACAGTACCCTAAATAGCAGGATCCTTATTATAGGGTTCAAAGCACTAGATTCAGCCAGGTGTCAAGCGCAGTGGCGAGACCCACGTCGGGTTGGAGGTGCGTCGTTCCAATGCGCAGGGTGATGCTCGCCTACGAGTCAGGACTCAGGGGTTTGGGTTCCGAAAACCCTAAGCCGCCAGAAAGAGGTCCTCTTAACATCCCGACACGGCCCTAATTTGGGGACGCCGAACCATTGATTATAGCATAATGTAGGGGCCTTAATAATTAGAATGGGGTTTTGGGGGTTCCTTATTATGATTATAGAATAATATACCCCAAACCCTATTCTAATTATTAAGGCACCTATATTAACCCATAATGAGGAAACTGTAAGGAACGGAAGTTCAGGCCTTTAAATGGGAGTTTCCATATATAAGGGGTACCTTATTGGGGGTCCTTATAATAAGGATCCTGCTATTTAGGGTACTGTATTAGGGTCCCCTATTTTCGGAAAACCCCCATATGTTGGGGATTTGGGATCAGGGTGCAGGGCTCTGGAGAGTCTAAGGCCTGGAAATGTGCATCTAAGGAGAGCTATGCAAAACCCTAACCCGCGGATGGGACCGGAAGTCATATGAGAGTCTTGAAGAAAACTGTGGGACCCGTAGACAGACCCAACCAGTAGGATGCTTGATAGATGGAATCACGCCGAAACGGAATCCTACAACTAAGACACTAAGAATCACCGCCCTAGAACCACCGAAACCCTACAGTAAGCCCGAAATTTGGCAGTAAACCCTAAAGTGTGCAGGAAACCCTGAAGCCTACAGCAAACCGTAAAGCCTGCACTTAAACCCTAAAGGCTAAACCCCTAAACCCGAAAGCCTACAGTATCCCCAAAAGCCGGGCATTCGTGTGCTTCCCGCCGGGGAGATCGATGATGGCAGGACCCAGCCTCACAGCAGAGAAAGGTGGGCGAAGAAAGATGCCATGCAGACGGTTTAGGGTTTGGGGTATACGGTATACATAGCTTTTGAAGGAGTTTCTCGGACACCTGCCAGAATGGTTGATACGAGGCTATGTACCAGATGAAGGTTCGTGGGGGGTATCAGTTCGGATACGTGGTGGTAGAGGCATCAGCCCCTTGAAAACCACGTGACAACACGACGGAATGGAGTTCTTTCGGCTAGGGATTCGGATTTGAGGCTGGCAGCTGGAGTTTGGATTCTTCGGCTTCGCTGCGGGGTGTTTGTCGGAGGTGTTCCTTACAGAAGTAGATACCAAAGAAGAAGGCCATTAAGCATAGCAGCACTTTCTCCAAAAAGAGCAAAATGCGTCAGTAGCAGCAGCAGGAGCAAGAGCATTAGTCTCTGTAATATTGGTCACAGTGGTACGATGCGTCAATCGTCATGAATCCAAGTGCATTGGTGGTGTGGATGGTGATATACCGACAGTCGTAGTCGTAGGAGACTGTAGGCAGAGGACGAGGAACAGGAGCAGCAGCGGAAGGGTGGTAGCGTTGGTGATAGGTTATGTTGTGCCGCAGGCCTTGAGGCTAACTGCATATCCCAGTTCGTCTGGTAGTCCAAGAAGGCAGCAATGATACCTCAGTTGCAATTGGGGTTCAGGGTTTTGGGTGTCGGGTTTAGGGTTTAGGTTGCAATCCAAGTGTCACTTCGCCAGCGTGGAAATGTAACAGAGAGGCTTGAAAAACGCGTAAACTTATTAAACGCATCCCTTTTGAAGAACCTTTTTCGATCCCTGAAAGGAACCCTCTACCCTAAACCTTAAGCCCCTATAGATACAACCCCTATACCGTGGGAGCCTGAATAATTAGAACAGGGTTTTGGGGCATGTTAT